AAGAAGCTGATAGGGTTGAGGTAAGGCTCTCCTGTCATTGCCTCCTTTGGGCTCCTTGTTTCTGCTTGAGGAACTTGAGCCTTTTCAGCCCATCCTTCAGCCACGGCCAGTGTTCAGGTCCTTCTGCCCAAAGCCCATCATCCCGAAGCAGGGCGTGCTTTGCTGTCCCGGCTCTCCCAAACCCCTCGCCAGCCACCGGCGGTTCATCTCCATCACCAAACCACGAGCACCTGCTGCCATGCAGATGTCCTGGGATGTCTGAGACAAACACAGGGTTGGCAGATACAGCTTTGGATCTACAAACGTGGGTCCTTCCAGGAGCTGGATACTCAGAGGGTCCCTGAGCTCCCCAGGGACCTGCAGTGAGAGGAGATGAAGCTGCTTTGGGGATTGTGCTTCCCACCGCCGGCGAGGCAAAGCCAGGGGAGATGTCTCGCTCGGCGTTTGTTGGAGGGGCTCGCTGATCCCGGCTCCTTTCCTGGGCTGGGCTGGGGGGCTGGGCTGGGTGGGTGGCCAAAAGCAAAGGCGGGCAGCAAGGAGAGCACGTTGTGCTGGGTCTCTCTTAATTGCCGAGGGGCAGGCTGAGCGCGCCCTGCCACAGGCATCCTTTGGGGTTCATTTTCCCCGCCGTCTGTAAATGCCAGCACGAGGGAACTGTTTCTAACCTGAAGGGCTTTTTAATTTAGCAGAGAGAGCCGGAGCAGGTAATTAAAGTCTGGCAAACCTCTGCAGGGAAGTGCTGGGCAGCTGCTCTGATGCTTCTCTGAAGCTGGGCTGGTCCAGGTCAGGAGAAGATGCTCACTGGGGTCCGGCTGCTGGGGAGGATGAGCTCCACAGTTCAGTACTTAAAGGAGGATTATAGGAAAGATGGAGACAGACTTCTTAGCAGGGTCTGTAGCGATAGGACAAGGGGTGATGGTTTGAAACTAAAAGAGGGGAGATTCAGACTAGATATAAGGACTAAATCGTTTACGCTGAGGGCGGTGAGGCGCTGGACCAGGCTGTGCAGAGAGGGGGTGGCTGCCCCCTCCCTGGAAGGGTTCAAGGCCAGGTTGGACGGGGCTGGGAGCACCCTGGTCTACTTGAAGACGTCCCTGCTCATGGCAGGGGGTAGGACTAGATGATCTTTAAAGGTCCCTTCCCACCCAAACCGTGCCGTGATTCAACGATTTCAAGGCAAATGCACCCCAGAAGCAGGAGCAGCTGCTCCTATTTCAGACTTCAACTATGCAAAGCAGGCAAACATGCTGGGTAAATATTTCTGTTGGTTGTGGCAGACCAGGGGTATTTTGTGGATAAACATCACAAAAGAACCGGCAGCCTCTGATCCACCGATATCAATTTTTAACGAGGTTGGAATAGCAGAGAAATCCCAGCACGGCAAAGAGTTCATACGGGGTGAATGAAGAGAGCTGGGCTGACCTGGCAGCAATCCTAGGAAAAGAATAGGAAAGCTTGTGCAGGATTCAATGAATAGGAAATTAAAAACTGGAGTGTAATCAATGACATTGGAGGTAGGCTTGTGAGGAGATTGAGCCTGTCTAAACAGGCTTGGTTTGCTGCTTTGGAGTCGGTTGGTTTGGTGACCGCGTGAAAGGAGCAGGTTCTTACAAAATGTTTGGTTTAACACTGCCTGCTCTCAGTGCTACACACTAACGAGAGCAGATTAATGGAGAAACTCTAAAAATAGCACATCAGCTGAGAATCATCTTTAAATGACAGTGCTATGGTACAGTTTTGCTATTGAGCCCATGATTTCTACATCAGTGATTGGGATGTAAAAAATAACTTACAATCAAGTTTTCAGATAATGTGAAGATTGACAGAACAGTCAACCAGGAGAGAGTGGAGGCAGCCACGCAGAGCAGCGGGGACCTTGGGAAACAAAAAGAGCACTCACATGCCAAAAACACTGCCTAGAAGCAGCATCTGCACCTCTGGCTGGCAGAAAATGGACCCGACTTCCATGAACGCAACAGCTCCGGAGAGCGCGGTGCACCAGCAGCCCAGCACGGTGAAAAAACAACCAAATAATCCATAACTGCACGAACAGAGGAGGGATGGGGGAAAAGAGAGAGGTGTTTCACCCTCCAGCTGCAGAGCTGGGGACATGCAGTGGATGCACCCAGCCTGTGCCTGTGCTTTAGAGGGAAGATGTTGAAAGCTGAACATTAATCATGGAATCACAGAATCCCAGGTTGGAAGGGACCTCAAGGATCAGCTGGTCCAACCTTTCTTGGCAAAATCACGGTCTAGACCAGGTGGCCCAGCACCCTGTCCAGCCAAATATGAGAAGTGTCTTAAAAGTGTTCAACGTTGGGGAAAGATTAGTGGGATAAGGAGCTGCAAAGACGTTTTGAGATAGGAAGAACCACTGTGTGATGAGAGGTGCCAAGAATGGCCTTCTCAAAAACAAGACTGAGAGGTGCTTTGACTATAAATGTGCAAGAGCCTCCGAGGGCAGAAAATGCCTGGTGAGCAATGGGCAGCGATGTTCCTGGGTCCCCGGGATAAGAATCACAGCACGTGGGGGGTTTCTTTGTACCGAGGGGGGACTAAGTTGGTGGAAGAAGCCAGTTCTCACGGGGCGTCGGAACCAGATTCCTGCTCACTGCTTATCTGGGCATTTCTCAGTGGTGAGGAACGAAGCTAATGGCACCGCTCGGTTCATGTGGAAGGTGAGGTTGCAGCATGTGAGGCCGAAGATAAAGCAGTGGAGGCTTCATCCCGGGTCGGGCAAGCCCAGCCAGGGCGCCGGGGCAGAGCTGCAGCCCGCTCGCCTGCGGCGCCAGCAGCTGCTGCTCAGAGGTAAGGCTGCTCCTCTGGGGCAGCACGGGCCCTCACGAGGCAAAGACAAACGGAGGAAAACGTCCAAAGTGATGAAAACGATAAATCAGAAGGTCATCTTGGAAGTAGGAGTGGCTCACGGCTGGCTGATGCAGCCAACCCGTTCTGCATGTGCAGCTCACCAAAGGAAAAAAAGGCGCTTTAAGCCATTTGGCCGAACTAGCTGGGTATTGATTTTGTGTTGGGTATTTGCAAATTTCTCAGAGACTTTGGTCACCTTGAAAGTGGAAGGAATTGCCTGAGTGATCACTATCTCAGCATCTAATCAGTGCAACCTGCTGCTATGCCCTGGCCTTTCCAGTTCCCAATTCCATGAAGGAACGGGGAAGGTTCTTCCTTTCTAGACGCAGAAACACCACTCTCTGCTTTTTATTGCATCTTCCAAGTGGCTTTTTTTTTTTCAGATTTTAAGACAGAGAGAGAAGCGATTGTTTTTTTTTTGTGTGCCAAGCACACAGGATTGCTGTCCAGGAGGTAAATTGGGTAAATCCTGAAGTGCAGTTTGTTAGGGCAAAAGCACCTGATTCGGTTGGCATGTTCTCATTCCCTTCTGCTGGGTAATGAAGATATGAAGCTTCAAGCCATCATGGATGGAAGGATGCTCTGTCCCTTCATGTCGTCCAGCTGCCAGCAGGATCCAGCGAGGGAGGAGAAAGCGAAGGAAGGCACTGAAGGAGCATCCAGTCAAAGAAAAACCACTGCTGGTCATGGATGCACCATGAAGTGCAGGTTCCAGAGGCTGGAGCTGATGCCGGCTGGGGAAGGAGGTGGATCTCCAGGCCTGTGGCTGTCCACCTCGGGCTCCCATCACCCACCTGCTGCCCACAGCCCCGGAGGAGTCCCTTCTCACCGAAAAAAAAAAAATGGTTCAGGGCCACAGAAGAAAATCAGATCTCCCGTTCCACGTGCCCGTCGCTCACGAACTCAGTGCCCACCACGACTGCACCACCTCAATGCAGGTACCTCCAGAAGGTGGTCTGAACACAGCTCAGAGTGACTCGTGCCACGTGTGGCTCCCGTGGCAGAGCTGAGATGTCCCCACGAGCCCAGGGCCACTCTTCTGCCTGTATCTGGCACCCATTCCCCACCCAACTCCTCCACCTGGGCTGGGACCCTCTGGGTGCTCCTTGACTTCCTCCTCCCAGAGAGCAACTGAATAGAACAAGTTTTTTCAACTCTCCCTCTGCTACTCAAGCTCCTACTTAAAAGCAAGGCAAAGGTAGGTTATTTTTTTCTCTCAGTTTCTTGTGGGGGTTTTTTTTTGTTTTGTTTTGTTTGTGGGGTTTTTGTGGCTTTATTTTTTAAAAAAATAATGTATATTTAGCATGCCTGCCCTGCACGCCACCTGTCTCCTCATTTTTTTTCTGGCTCTGAAGCAAGCTTTTGCATGAATATGTACCTGGGAGATGTTCAGGAGAGCTGGGGCAGACAATGGATTTCAGTGCAAAAATGTGAGTGCAACATCCAACCACAAGCAAGAGCCCTTCCTCGGCTCTCTTCCTCCTTTCCCCTCTTCAACGTCAGTGTAAATGTTCTGTAGGACAATTCACGTACGCCACTCATGTTTTTGTGGAAAGCTCCCAGATTTTTGCAGTGACAGCATGGACAGATGTACGAAACACACTAAGGCTGACAGAAGGGATGGACCAACTTTCCTTCTCTCGTGTTCGTTATTAATGTGGGGGCAAAACAGACTGTAAGAAACCTTACAACACGTTCGTAACACTGCACACAACACATAAGGCATGACAACCACTATAGTAGCTATGCGAGAAAAAATGACAAGAGTAAGATAAACGGGTGCAGAATTTGCAAAAGCTGGGGAACTACATTTAGGTATCAAATTCTACCCTGGATAATCAACCCAAAGATTTCAGTCTCTCTTCAACGCATGCAAATCGTGTTGAACCAAACGGCAGCACCTCGGGAAAACCATCTAGTTGGGGGGTGGGTAGCAACCCCACCCGCTGAGCTGCACACATCGCATTGGAGCTTCCTCGCCCTTCCCAGGGGACACCACCACCGTCTTCCTCACCCTTGACTCTCCAAACCAAACCGGGACGTGGCTCCAGCTCATGCCGGGGGTTCCCTCATCCCACCGGAGAGGACCTGGGGGTCGGAGGGAGGGAGGGAAGGACCGACCATGTTCTTACCTGTTGGAGAAGACTTTGCTGTAGTTGAACACCTGGATCTCCAGGATCTCATTCCCGTCGATATTGCTTGCCACCGGCCAGCGGAAGGTCTGCGGAGAAAGGACAGGAGAGAGATGTTTCAGGGAGCTGCCGCAGAGACGATGAGGATGGAGCTGAGGTGAGCACAGGAAAAGGCTAACGAGCCTAACTAGCCAGATGACCATGAAAAAAGGCTAACTGGCTTAACTTTTTTCCAGCAAAAAAGGCTAACTGGCTTAACATTTTTCCAGCAAAAAAGGCTAACTGGCTTAACTTTTTTCCAGCAAAAAGACTAACTGGCTTAACTTTTTTCCAGCAAAAAAGACTAACTGGCTTAACTTTTTTCCAGCAAAAAGGCTAACTGGCTTAACTTTTTTCCAGCAAAAAAGCTAACTGGCTTAACTTTTTTTCCAGCAAAAAGGCAGACAGGGCTGATTTACAGGGGTGTGACGAAGAATGTGCCTCGGTGCCAAATATTTTTTACGTATAGTATGAATATTAATACCCATTGTATAAATGTATATATATATATTTTTTATATATGCACATTTTACGTTTATAACATACAAAAAATATACATGTGTATATATAAAAATCTAAAAGTCACTTTCATTTGTGGGTTTTTTTGTTCCCCAAGGCAAGAAGTCAGTCTGCCAGGCTAAACCACCTGAGGTGCCTTCAGTTTTCCAAGCCTCTCGTGGGCTCCCGCAGCCAAGCACCCCCCCGTGCCAAGCTGCTCTCGGGGCATCAGGGGATGGGAATGTGAGGCCCCAGATGCCAGGCAGCGGGGTTCAGCCCGGCACCGCTTCCAGGATTGTCAGGACTGCACTCAAAGTCTTGAAAGGAAAGCGCTTACCGAGCAACTTCACAGGAAGAAATTAGCGGCTCTTCAGAAATATGCCAACACTCATTTTTTAAGCTGTTTTTCCCCCCTTTTACGTTTTCGACAGTGAGTCAAGGGAGCAAAAGAAAAAAAATCCTGAGATATAAAAGAAGACTAGAAATGGCCCCACGATGGTGATATCATTTTGCTTATGGTCCAGCCTCCCTCCTCGTTCTGCAGCCGGATTTACTCCGGACTCTCCATCGTGGGGATGTAACCCAGCCCTTCCCCCTGCAGCATGTGTGCTGCTCTCTGCTTTCTCCTTCCCGCTGCCTTGATGCACCATTAGCCGGTGCTAGCTAGGTTGATTAACACAACCAGCAATCCCAAGATTAATTACGAGCTGTCTGTTCCCTCCTGCCATCACCATGCCCCTCTGGCCAGAGGGGCCAGGGTCTCCCAGGGTCTGCCCAGAGGTGGCCAAAGAGAGCAGAGCTTAGACCTTCTCAAGGGGAACTCTTCACTTTTAAACAGCAGTAGCACTTTACCGTGGGGTAAGCTGCTCTGCCAGGATCAGCACTTCTGGCTGCTTCTGAGACAGAGATAGAAAGCCCAAGCGCAGTTTCTGCCTGGACCATAGAATAATCGAATCCCAGACCGGTTTGGGTGGGATGGGACCTTAAAGACCATCTAGTTCCAAGCCCCCTGCCCCGAGCAGGGCCCCCTTCCCCCAGCCCAGGGGGCTCCCAGCCCCGTCCAACCTGGCCTTGAACCCTTCCAGGGAGGGGGCAGCCACAGCTGCTCTGGGCACCCTGGGCCAGCGCCTCACCCCCCGCACAGGGAACAATTTCTGCCTTAGATCTCACCTAAATCTGCCCTCTGCCAGTTTAAAACCATCACCCCTTGTCCTGTCACTACAAATCCTGCTAAAAGTCTGTCCCCATCTTTCTCAGAAGCCCCCTTTAAGCCCTCGGTAAGTATTGAAAGGATCCTCCTGGTCCTTCCTGATACCCCATGTCTGTGCAGCCTCACCACCTCAGCAGAGCTCAGCTTTGATCCCTCTGCCCAGAGCCTTGGCCAGTACAGGACAAACCCAAACCCCTCCACTACCTCCACAGAAGACTAAACCGTGGTCCAGGCACAGGCTCTTTTCTGCTCACACACATTTGAGACAGAGTGAGAGGTTAAAGAAGCCTGGAAGCAGCCCCTGAAACCCCAGCAGAGCTCTGTTCCTGGAGACAGCCGGGTTCTGGGGTTGGTTTTTTTTTGCCTTCCTCAGAAATACCATTTTCTGTCCACAGACCAAATTCTGGGGAGGAATGGGAATGAGCGGGCATCCCTTCCTCTGTCAGAAAGACTCGTGGGTCAGTCTGTTCCCCATCCCTGGGCTTTAGGGGGGAGGACAGCGGCTGTCTCTTCCTCTCTGGGTACCTACAGCACAGCGGACAGGGAAATCCTGCTCTAAAATTAGCTCCCCTCCAACACTCAGACCCCAGAGCTCAGGTGTGGCTACCAAGATACGGCATGGAACTAACGATGCGTAGGCACCCCCGCCTCAGTTAGAGGTTTGTCAGGAAGCAAAATAACTAGTCAGGTCATTTGGAAAGCATGATGGCTCCCGGGACCCCTGCTGAACAGCCTCGCTGGCAGCTTTCTGCACCAGTCCGGGGATGGGCACGGCTGCAGCAAACCCCGGGGGGGCCGGCGAGCGGTGCACGGCGTGGAAGAGCGCGCTCCCATCTGCTGTGCTCCGCGTATCGTCCTGGGAGCACCGCTTGCACACGTGCTTGCACGCCTGCTTGCACACCTCCGCTGCCAGAGGGACCCGCCAGCCTAGAGCCACTCACGCCGTTTGCTGAAAGCACTTGGGGTTTTGCTTAAAATGCGGGGGAACGCAGCAGAAGGTACGATTTTCTGCCGTCAGAAATCATCCCTTCGTGGTGCAGCCCCTGTTTCCTTGGGGCTGGGCTTCATAAAGGGGCTCAGATCTGAATTACGCTGCAGATCCCTTGAATTCAGCTAAAGTGTTTAGGACAGAATGCAGATGCTCTCAGTTTGGGACTCAAAAATCAGGGTCGGGATTCCTCCAGCTTGACCTTAGATGCTCAGAAGTCACCTCCTCAACCAACACCCCTCGTCTGGGCTCTCCATCACTGGCGAACCTCTGGCGTGTCCCGGGTACAAACCGAGCCATGCCTCCCTTTTGGGAGGGGATCACACTTTTTCTATCCTTTCTGGACAGACTACCCTGTCATGACTCTATGCCTCAGATCAAAGGAGGGCACCTGGCTCTGGAAGCTGTTCAAAATCCCCTCCCAAAACCCCACTAACCGGACAAGGAATGGGCACCCAGACCCCCGGGCTGTGAAGGAGCTTCTGCCACACCTTCCCCAACCCATGACCCACGCCCAGCCTGCCCAGCCACCCTCGGTCCCCTCTTGGTTTTATCCCAGTGCACGGAAAGTCACTCACATCAACTTGTGGCACCCAGCTGTGAGTTTTACAAACTTATTTTTTCCACCCCTCCTTCATTTTACAAACACGCTGTCCCCTGCGCTAGGGAATCCCTAGGCATTGCTCCCCCCAGGGCTGCTGTCCGCTTCTCTGTCGTCGGATTTTGAGTATTTTGGGGAGGTGGGTGGTGGATCTGGAGCACCCAGACCACATCTAGCGCCTTGTGGGTGGGGGTCTGACGGTGACAAATCAGCCCGGCTGCGAAATGAAAATGCAGGTCTCTGGGCTTTATCTCTCGGAGTTACAGTCACCTCAGCCTCGGCAGAAAAAAAAAAAAAAACAGCTCAGAGGAACCGGGTGATGTGCTTTCCCTCCTAAGGTAGGTAATTATTATTATTATTATTATCTCTCAAGCCTGGAAAGCGTTATTACAGTCACTCAGCCTGACCTCTTAAACAACTCAGTCCACAGATTTTTGTGTTTCACTCAAAGGCTCCTAAATCAACTGCAGATCTGCCTTGTAGCTCAGTCAGAACATATTTTTGTCAGGGAGAAAGGGAAAAAAGACATCCCAGAATTCAAGCAACAACATTTAACTACGCTTTCAGACGAGTGGTTTCCATAGCTGATTACGTTCAGCGATAAACATCTGCACCATATTTCTGCTTTGAATTTATGGGCTTCAGCTCCCTATTGTTTGCCCGATGTTCTCCCACCAAACTGAGCTGCTACCTAAAACTCTTTCGTTCGGATTTTCAGATTTCATTCCTCGCTGCCTGCGGAGATGCAGCAAGGGAATTGCCCCCGGGCTGAAGCCAGTGCTCCCTTTGCAACAAACAGGGAAAGGCAAAGCAATGCCCCGGCCCCAGGACACCTTCAGAAGGGAGACTGGAGACGGGCACCCTGCTGAAAGCACCCAGCGCCGGCTCTGCCGGGGCGGGCATCATCTCACCGCGGGTTCCTGACGCTCTCGCTGGCACCGAGGCAGCGCAGGTCACGGAGTCACAGTCCGGTTTGGGTGGGAAGGGACCTTAAAGCCCCCCCAGTGGCACCCCCTGCCCCGGGCAGGGCCCCCTTCCCCCAGCCCAGGGGGCTCCCAGCCCCGTCCAACCTGGCCTTGAACCCTTCCAGGGAGGGGGCAGCCACAGCTGCTCTGGGCACCCTGGGCCAGCGCCTCACCCCCCGCACAGGGAACAATTTTATCCTTACATCTAATCTAAATCTCCCCTCTTTCGGTTTAAAACCGTCTCCCCCTGGTCCCATCCCCACCCCCTGATCCAGAGTCCCTCCCCACCTCTCCTGTCCCCCCTTTAAGCCCTGGGAGGCTGCTCGAAGGGCTCCCCGCAGCCTTCTCTTCTCCAGGCTGAACCCCCCCAACTCTCTCAGCCCGGCCCCCCAGGGGAGCTGCTCCAGCCCCCCCAGCATCTCCGTGGCCTCCTCTGGCCCCGCTCGAGCAGCTCCGGGTCCTTCTGCTGTTGGGGGCCCCCGAGCTGGCCCCAGCACTGCAGGGGGGTCTCCCCAGAGCGGAGCAGAGGGGGACAATCCCCTCCCTGGCCCTGCTGCCCCCCCTGCTCTGGCTGCAGCCCAGGGCACGGGTGGGTTCTGGGCTGTTTGTGCACGTTGCTGGGTCATGGGCAGCTTTCCCCCCACCAGCACCCCCAGCCCCTCTCCTCGGGGCTGCCCTCCAGCCACTCCTCACCCACTGAGTGATTGCCCCGACCCAGGGGCAGGACCTCACACTCGGAGCTGGGTTGCATTTGCACAGCACTCAGCTCTTTGCAATCATGTTTTTCT